TTTACTTCGAATCGGCATTGTTTTTTGGGTTTTTGCTGCTTCAGATTTGTGTGGTAAGGACAGAAGGCCTACAGCCTATGTTATTCCTTTTCTAGTATGCTTCTGTGAGTGTCCAGTCTTCTCTTGAAAGAATCAATTGAAGGTGCGGACACCACTGCTTGAGGCAGCAGGTTCTAAGTATTGATGACTCGGTGTGAAAACCTGTATGCCACGGGTATTTTGTTCGTTCTTGGCTTTTCTACTCGCCTGCTATGTCCTCTGAGGTGTCCCGATCTAGTGGGAAGAAAAAGAGAGAATAAGTTAGGTCCGAAATCATGTCTCAATATTCTGTACATCAATATTAGATCTCCCCTTAGTCTGCGATAGGACAGAGTAAAGAGGTTCAGTTTTTCAAGCCGCTCTTTATATGATAAACCCCGGAGTTCCGGAATCGCACGCGTAGCTGCCCTCTGCACTTTTTCTAGTATGTCTGAGTCACCTTTTAAACAGGGGCTTGCAGCCTTAACACAGTTCTCTAACTTAGTTCTCACTAAGGATGTGTATAATGTGGTGAACATGGTAGTATCATACTTAGTGAATGTCCTTTTTAAAGCCCAGAGGGTTCGAAACCCCTTAACCGCGACCTCCCGGCAATGGGCCGTCGTCTTAAGATCATTGCTCACTGTCACCCCTAGATCCTTATGAGACGGGACTACGGGCAATGACACATCCCCTATGTTGTATGTATTAACCTTTGAATCCCCTAAGTGCATGTAGACACACTTTTCCAAGTTGACAGGCATCAGCCACTCTTTAGACCAGTTTATCATATTATTTAAGTCCGCCTGAAGAGTAAATGCGTCTTTTTCTCCAGTTATTACTCGCCAAATTTTTACATCGTCAGCGTATAATAACATTGGAGACTGTACTACACTTGTAAGATCATTAACGTACAATATAAAAAGTAAAGGACCTAGGACTGAACCTTGAGGTACCCCACTAAGTACTGGTCTCCAGGTGGAGCACTTGGAATTTATTCTTATTTTTTGCCTACGACCTACTAGGAAATCCTTAATCCATTTTAAAAGAGGTCCGGCAATACCAAGGTTTTCCAACTTCAATAGCAGTCTATTAGTTGGCACCTTGTCAATGTATTTCTTCAGTCAAGCTGGTTAGTCTTATGTTTCAAAATGGAAATCGGTTTTGTTTTGACTTGTTTTCTAGATATCCAAAGCCGAAGTTCGTTTTTTCTTAGCTGAAATAACTGTTGCTGCCTCCTGTGACTAACTGTCCGCATGTTCGTTCCTTTATGATGTTATCGGCAAAATGAAAGGAAACAATTTCCAGTTTTTATTTTTCTTCAGTATTGCGGACAACTATATCCCACCAATGAGTCAAACTAATACTTAGTGCCTAGCAGTAGGGGATGTCAGTATTGTTTTCGAAAGTATCCAGGCTTCCGACAACCACAGATGCTACCAATATATTGCAGAGGGTTTGTTATGAAAAAATATGCCACATAGCAGTAATGGAGGGGTTGTACGAATTACGTAGTGCGTTAAAGCAAGCTTAACATTGAGAAGCCGGAAATCTGCTATCAATGTGTAGTGTATGTTTGGTGTTTTGGCCACAAAAGGAAGCCGAAGGGTCATGATCAGGGAGTAAAAAGGTAACTAACTGTTATTAAGCTCAGCTTTTTATAGTCCATAGTTCACCACTCGCAAATTTGTTATTTTTACGGTATGATGTCAACCGTTATCTAATATGTTCACCTTTACGATGAAAAGTACCTGCAAGTTCTCAACTTCATATTTGAATTAATTTGTGACAACTGTCTTCCAGTTTGAGTGCTTCGTACGCCCTGGGAGACTAGATTCCTACATTATTCACAGTTCCAGTATAACTTTCTCACGCAGTAAGTTCAAAGTAAACACTAGTCTTTCTAAATAAGCATGTTAAGCTAATATCCGTATTCTCTATTTCAGATGATCGATGAAGACATGTACCACGTGCATCTGTTGTATATTGTTATTTTACTCCAATTCTTACTGTTATATCTTCTGAAAAATAAAATTGCTATATGCAGCAAATACAGACTTATTGTTTTGATGGTGGTAGGGGGGTTAATGGGTTTTTTAGCAGGACTGTAGTAATATTCTCACTAAAGAGCTAAGTGAGTGCGTAGACCAATGTAAAGTACCATACAGGGTGCTTTTGAATTACTCGTGTTCCATTAGTGTCGGTAGAAGCATTACTTGCTTATCATATGACATTTGAATAAGGAGCTATGAGATTAGATGCAGGGACGGTTAGGATGTGTAACGCGTGTCCATCCATCAGTTTTCCTGTCAACTCATGGTGGCTAGAGTAAGTTGTGAGAGGACCCGAGCCTGTAGGTTTCACAAGAAAGTGACGGAGATATGCACCAAATCACCTTATGAAGAGCACCTCCAATCACTTAACCTCTACTCATTAAAGTATAGACGTTTTAGAGGTGACCTATTTACTTACAAGATCTTTAACACTTCTGGACATCCTCTTAAACACCTACTTAAGCTTAGTTCGAATAATAACCTAAGAGGTAACACCCAGAAACTGGAAACTCAACATAGCAAGACGGAATGTTGACACAACTTCTACTACTTAAGAATTGTCAAATGCTGGAATTCGCTGCCCGCCGAACTAGTCCAAGCGACTTCCCAGGAGTCATTTGGGAGGCGACTGGATCTTTTATTGTTAACATACCTAGGTTCCTGCTTGGAGGCTTCGGTGTTCCCCTGCTAATAGACACGGAAGCCTGAACACATGAATTAGGTGATGAGAGGCTCGATTATCACAAGTTTCTTGCAACGATTAAGTAGATAAAACAAAGTAGCATTAGGTTCAAAAATTTATTCGAGAACTTTCATTAAGAATCGAATATGAAACAAAGGTTTAAACCAAGTTCCAGTCTAAAAGTTGCATTTGTAATGTTAAGCTGCAGTTTTGTTGTTTTTTCCAAACGAAAGGGTAAAAGAAGTAACTCAAAAAGTACTGGAAGTGGTTGTGAGATTAAAATGGACATCCAGCATTCTTTTTATGATCTGGTGTTAGTTGGGTCTCCCGTAAACAGATCCATAGGGCCATAGTTCTAAGGGCGAAACAGTTCTTAACATCTGTGAAGACTCAGTCCTGTTGCATTGTAAATGAGAAAACAGTAATGAATTTAGTCAGAAATGTGGAATAGATAAATAACCAAATTACATGTATTTTAGCAAAGAATTTATGCAGTTGTGATTTACCTTTAGTTCATGAATATTAGGTCAGGTCAGCTATTTATTGTGCAAAGCATAACATGGACTTAATACCGTATCTCAATGCTTTTATTATTTTGCTCTCATTTAAGTATTACCATGTATCTGCATCTAGTTTAACAGGGAAACATACAAGCAGAGTTAGTTTTTGATGAACTAAAAGTCCTAGTAGTCAAAAAGATTCTTAACATTTGTCCACAGCCAACTGCATTTAATTGAGATACAGACTACTCATCTTCTAAGACTGTATACTGCTCTTCTGTGGGCAAATAAAAGCTCAGACACTTAGCTATCCTGCTACCGATGTTATTGCTGGGGAAATTGTTTAATGACAGTGATCATGAAATATGGTCAGTGATAGATGTACAATCTAGAAATAAACACCAAACATACTTATCGCTATCTTATAATGTATAACAGCAACGGTACCAAAAGTACTTTTTTCCTATTTTTAATCAGACTGATTTGAATCAGTATACTCATCAGAAACAGGCAACTCTACTTACTAAGCTGATCTGTTTCGTTACAGACTTCAAGCACTATACCATAATTCTTTCAACTAAACTGAATTATACGACAACCAAGAATACTAAACTAAGCAAGTGTCATAGTTATTGTTTCATTTGCACAGGCATATTGCTTAAAGTAGTTAAATGGACATAATTAAGACGATAAAACAAAAACACGAAATATAGGCCAATAGAACTTACCGAACAGAAGACAAGGTATATATATATTGCTTTCCGACTGAAAACAACAGGTAGTTGTTCATAAAAACATAGTTTATAGTACAATAAACCTTTCTACAGTAAAATCATGCACTGACAGTCTATCTGGAAACAATCAACTATGTGAATAAACTCACTATGACTTGAGATATTATCCCAGCATGCAATGGACGTGCAGTGTAACGCAGTCGAACGTGGCGAATAAAAAAATTAAAAAAGATCAAAATTAGCTATATAATCTAGTTATTTAATTAAAAATACATTATGAAATGACAAAATCTGTGGTTACTTGAACGCACAGATGACCGGTACATTAAGTTTACATGGTTGCGTTGCGGATAAGATCACCCGTCAACCGGTACTTAATATATTCAGTCTTACGATTAAAAGTACCTACAATTTCTCACTTTCATATTCGAATTATTTTCGAACAACTGTCTTCCCGTTTAAGTGCTTTGTACGCCCTGGGGGACTAGGTTCATATATTATTCGTAGTTCCAGTATAAATGTCTCACGCAGTAAGTTAAAAGTAGACACTAATCTTCTAAAGAAGCCTATCAAGGTAATATCCGTATTCTCTACTTCAGTTAATCGATGAAGACATGTATCACGTGCATCTGCTGTATACTGCCATTTTAATCCATTTCTAACTGTTATATCTTAGTTCTGAAAAAAATGAAATTGCTATATGCAGCAAATATTGAGTTATTTGTTTTGATGGAGATAGGAGGGTTCATGGGATTTTCAGCAGGATTGTAGTAATATTCTCACTAAAGAGCTAAGCGAGTGCGTAGACCAATGGAAGGCACCATACAGGGTGCCTTTGGGTTACTAGTGTTCCATTAGTGCGGGTAGGGGCGTCTTAAAGGTGATATTCTAATGACTTACGTTATACCAAAAACTTATAGATATCCTTTTTAAGGGCTTCTGATATGTCGCTGAGCCATAGCCAAATCACTCGGCAGTTGGGTCACTGAATATCCAACAGATCATCGATCCATGTCAAGGTCAGGGATACCGAACGCGCATCAATTAATTGTAAACCCATGGGTTGGTAGTTACAATTTTGCTTGTACCTATGTTAGGTAGTATATTTCTGCAATAGTGTCCTCTATGTTGTACGGTATTCAATCAATCCATAGTACCTTGATACGTCAAAAAGGTAGTAGACGTTAGGTATTAACCACGAGACGTGATTTCGTCGTTAGATGTTGGTCACTTCTAACTCGAAAAGGCCCACAATCACCAGACAGAAATAATCGACGTTGATTATTGCTAATAGATACGGAGTCTCGTGAAGCGAAAGCTTCTGTCCTGTCCAGAACAATTTGAATTTTGCGGAACTAGATTTATTAGGTTATGAATAAACGGCGTGAATTCTATCATACTTCAATATATGTTTTTGGATACGATAAGGTCAGCATGTTTCGAAAAGCAATAGGGATTGTCAACTAAAAACCGTGACAGATATATATATATATATATATGACCGTGAATTAGCAATAGTTTCTTTCAGTTTTTTTCACAGCTCTCCCATTGGTTTTTATGGTGATGTTATTCAATGAAAACTTAATACTGAAGCCCATGACTGTTTTTTAGTCGCAAACAGGTAAAATGTATTTTAATTGTAAAAGTAGAGAGCGGAAAGATCGGGTAGCATATTTAATGTTGGGTTCGTAGATTTTGTTGTTCAATATAAAATCGTACTGTACTGCAGGTGTTTCCTTTCCATTCTCCTCATTTCACATATTTGCTTTCATTAACCACTCAATTATGGCTTTATTGCCAGAATTACGCTCCTTAACAGGACGTGCACGAAGTCGACACTGCTACATCGATCACCTGTCAAACAAATAACCATAGGGCAATAAAAGAGACAACATATGGGTTATCCGTTTGTTTAACCTTACTACGTGAGACTCGCGCATATCAGGATGACCTGACTAATAAACTATCAAAAATTTCATGTTGTTGTAAAGTCTAACCCGTATCATTATTTATGCGTCGAATTAAGCGAAACATGTAACGCTATTTTCAACAGGAAAATGAATTCGATATTATCCATGTCTCACTTTATGATGTTGCGACCCAGATAACCGTATGCCGAAAGTCTCATTTTTATGCTCAGTGCTTAATTAAAAAGTGGTTTTTCCGTTCGCCTGTACAACAATGTACAAAGGTACTTTCTGTCATTATCTGACTGTATAGGACTCATTTGCATCCACCGTTTGTCTTACCGTAGTTTCTAATTTTTAAAATCCGTCATATTTTTTTCTAATTTCACAGATCGTTTCTTCAGTGCCTATCTCCTCATGTTACCACTAATACCGTAAGTACCTCAATACTCTGGGACTCGTCCTGACAATTTAATCTCGCTCTGCTAATGGGATGTAGTAACTTGGACTGATGTGCACATGTGCCATCGTCTACGTTGTTTGATTGATAGTCAGGATATTTTAAGTCAAAAATGGCCCCCAAATGCCCTGGTACGGCCGAGAGTGGGGAGAGTCCACTCTCCCTATCGAAATGCTCTCACATGGCCACGCAGAGATAGCCCCTGCCAGGGAAGTCCTACTCACTGCCTTCTCGTGGCGGGAGTTTTGTTTACGAAATTGCGAGGATGAAAAGCGAACGTCCGGCGCTTTAACCGGATTCCAAATCAATGGTGCACATGGGCTCCAGTATCCTGCGGGAACAAATGGCGAATGAACCAATTGTTTGTCACCGGCTTCCATGGGACTGCATCTCCTTACGATGCTCCACTGCCTTGTGGATCAGACGTTCAGTTCGAAGGCTCGGGGAGTGATCCCCTAGGAAAACCACCTGCTTCGGTTTGGGCACGCAGACAGTACCACAGCCCTCACACATATCGAATGAGATTTGTGTGGCGCATATGTATTTGGTGCATCCTTGTACTAATATTTATGTGTTAAAATGAAATAATAAAGGTCCAAAATGAGTCGAAGCTGCTTCAACTCGGCAGTAATGACACACTAAGTCTTTCCGGTTTCGCCAACATAGGGCAATAATCAGTTTTCACAACGTAAAATCTAGTATTTATGTGCATCAGTTCCCACATCAAATTAACGCGGCGAGATACTAAAGTAGTCAACAGTATTATATATATATATATGGCTGTTTGGATTTTCGCATGGGCGAGATCTGAAAGCGGAGGTCTTAGCAGCTATTTTAGTACATAAGTGGCTGGTCCCAACTTTTTAGACAGACTTCAGTAACAGTATATGACAACTGCGTCATTCTTATATTACTAAATACCATTTTTTAAATAGGAAATTGTGACCTTCAGTACTTATATGTCATATTCACGTCTTAGCAGTTCTACAGTTATACGTCTCATGTATTTGTTTGTTTTTGTACACTTTTATCCAATCTCAGTCTACACATTATCTTTTGAGTAGGCACATTTGCTTTCTCTGCCTATCATCTGTTTGTCTTATTACTGAAATGAATGCATAAAAATATAAACATCCGTAACAGGTGTATTCAAATTTTACATCAGCGTTATCTCTGACGGGAATTTTCAAAAGAATATAGACGATGTAAAAGGGATCTATATTTCTTCAACATAAAAAAATTTGATGATAACATAGAGTTGTCAAATAAACCGTGGAAAAATTTGATACTGTTCGATCATTAGGTCTCTTGATGTTTATTATCACAGGCTTGTTTCTGAGATCGAGTTGCTAGCTTCCATAAAAAGTAAGTTTATGAAGTATTTTTAAGATAATATACGGCGACTGTATTATCAAAGTATTCGATCGCCTGTGTCGTATAATTTATGTTTACGTCTATACGTTAGGTTATTTCAGAAGAGTACGTCCCTAACATTTATTAATTTCACGACAGCTTTCTGGAAATATCCAAAGTAGATAGAATGCGAACACTCCGCCTCACTAGATATTATTCGGTATAAAATTTGATAATGATGTTGTAGCAGTTTCTTAATAAACACCAAAGTGTACATTATGTGTAAGAGATCATCCTGATCAAAAATTTACCTGATAATACCTTCAGTTTTCCTGTTTTGTTTCTTTGAAGTTATGACATTGCCTAGCAGTCCGTGTTTTTGTCTTGTAAATAAAGATATTTCTATACTACAAATAAATGTCACTAGTATAGCTGAAGTAAGTTATTACCAGTTTTGAATAAACAGTAAATATTGTTGGGATCTTAAAAGTTATTTCAAAGTCGGGTTATGGATGTGTTATTTTTCCTTCTTTTAGTAGTAAGAACCACAAACTGAGGCAATAACTCTACCATTCTTTGACGCCTCTATATGACACCAGTAAATCCTGAGAAATATTATTTCTCTAAGATTCAGCTTTACGACCCTAATGAAATCATAAATTACGGGATTCAAAAGCAAATTCAAAAGAAAAATAGAAGGAAACTAGCTAAACTCGAAAAGCAGGGTATATTTGTTGGCAGAGACCCAATAAAATTGTTGAAAAAAGCTAACAAGAGTTCAAAATCAGAAATTAACAATGCAGATCTGACATCCGTTGATATCATTCGCAAAAAGTGGAAAATTGCATCACTCAGGGCTCAAGGTATACTGATTCTATGAATTAATTTTTATCATTTCAGGTGTGAAGGTTAAAGATGACATGTCACTTTTGAAAAGGGCAGCTGATAAGGTACATAAACTCAAACAGAAACGAGCTAAAAACTGGAAGAAGCGTATAGAGGCTAATGAAGAAAAGAAACGTGAGAGACAGGTTAAAAGAACCACCAATATTCAAGCAAGAAGATCGAGAAAACTTTCAAAGAAACTAAATAAAGCTCGTGAAAAAGGGAGAATTTTCTTTGCCTGTGAATAAACAATTGTATTTTGTGCTTATTCTAAAACACTTCGAAACAATTACTCACTGATGAGCATTTTGAAATTCATATTCCTTGGTTTTGGTACAGAGGGTTTGTTTAAATAATCATGTGAGATTGGGCACCTTGATGTCCGATTTCGTCTGTAGAAAAGGCCAAGCTATCAAACTAAGGTCCTCTTATAGAATTCGCTGGCTGTTCTTAGGAACCATATAGGTCTACCGGCTGGTGTTAGCCATAGTGCGAAACCCCTATGTGATTTTGTTGTTCGCATTACTGAGTTAGGTTACTTTTTTGCTAATAAATCAATCGACTAGCATATCCTTCATCACTTCTTTGTTCGTTAGCTTTGCCCTTCATAAATATTGGAAGATAATTCCAAGAACATTACACCACTAAGTTCGTCAAATGACCAAGTCAGTAAAGCCATGCACTGCTGTCAAAAACTCGTTCGTATTTACTAAGTTAAATACTTAGTTACCCAACAGATGCAATTACTTTCTTGGTGGCTATTTGAGTAATAAGTTAGAGGTACCAAACTCAAGACGTTGATAACAAAATCCCGGAAACTTTGATGTCATTGGTGAGGCTTTTTTGTAGTGACATGTTTCATGCGCATAGATTATTGACTCACAAGTTATCGTAGGACTTTAATGGCAATAACAGCTTAATTACTAATGTCTGTAGGCTTTTGAACCATTGACCGACCACAGATTTAATCCTAAAGCATCAATCAGACGTAGAGAGATGAAATTGTTAAGACGAATCCATGAGTAGAATTAGTAACGAAGTTACAATTCGGAGAGTGTGGATCAGTAGAATAAAAAAAGTTTTAATAGGTAATTTGGGAACCTAGGGACTAAGAGGGGTAAAAATGATTGAATTAATCTGTACCATTGCGAACTTTACTAAACCATGTCGCTATTCTTTCGTTGCGATATTCAAACAGACCTCACTCAGGTAGTCTGCACTTATCTATATGGTTTGTTCCATTAATGTTTCTGCGGATTGATACTTATTCTTGGTTTGGCCACTCCCAGAATACACCTACACCAGCCATTATCACGCGTCGAGGATATGTTTTAACCATCACAATCGATGAAGATTCACTACCTCGTCAATCCTAGACCATAGCAACATTGGATTCGACTTCCCTTATTGCCGCTGATGCACAAATTTTCCACCCACTTGGCGTGTTATGCAAAAATTTTCCAGCTATCTAAAGGTCAAAGTGGTACAAGAACATTTTCGGAAGACCATTTTTCACAGAGCTTAGCTTTCTATTTCAACCTAGGCGTTGGATGTCGTCTAATGCACTAAGTGTAGCGTTATTTCATAGCTTATGATGATTTTTAAATAATAGGTTGTACACAGCTGACGACAACCAAACGAAATAAAATGAATTCATATTATTCTCTTCTTGCTCGCTTCAAGATTAAGAATGGAACTATGTGTATTAAATATTAAATATACATAAAAATCAGCAGTAAGGACATACAATTGTAAAATACAAGGAATAAGAAAGATTTGAAGTTAATTCATTGTACCGAATAAGTGAACTTGGAAAGATTCGATAGTTGGTTTGACATTAAAATTGGGTTTTTCCATAGATAAATTTTCTTGTTTGTGATATTCAACACTAATTCCCAGAACGGAACTTGATTTTCCTAGTGTGTATGGTCGAAAGTTGAGCACTATTCGTACACGGGAACGCGGTCTAGTGTTCAAAATGGTAAAACAAATTATAAATTGTGAAAGAAAAACGGTAAGTTCAGGTTATTAGCCACCAATATTTCAAAAACAAAAGCTTCAGTTTTATCACTCGAATTCAGGTATCATTACTAAGGTTTGACTTGATAATTTCGAATAAATTGAGCGTTGGGTAGATTGTTTTAAATAAATAATATATTTGTAATATCCCGATGAGTATAAAAATCACTTACTTATCACTCGATTGCTAAATGTCCATTTGCATTTGCATAATTTATAGTGTTTCGATTAACTCCATCTGTAGCTCTTCTAGATTTACTGCCAGTCCCAAACCCGGATAAAGGAGGGTTGGGCAGGGGGTTAACGACTCCATCCCGTATAAAACTAACTCGCTAAAAAACGCTAGACAGAAAAAATTATTCAAACCACTTAAACTCTACCCTGGGAGTCTGAAGGTCTTCATTTAGAAGAGTTATGACGCCTCATTGTGAAAGCCAAGTTCCTTAGGAAGTCACGAGGCCAATGCCCCTTCTGACAACCAGAGCAACCATTTATTTAGGTACATGGGATGCTTGTACAATGTGAAAAATGAAAAGATACAACCTGGATATTCTTGGAATCAGTGAAACACATCGGACGCAAGTTGGACAACAACGACTAGCTTCAGGGGAGCTTCGGCTATGAAGAAAATGCTCTACAAAGACGAGAAGATGCACTGATGCTATCCAAACAAGCACAAAATGCACTTATAGGGTGGGAATCTCAAGGACCAATAATCACCAAAGCCTGATTCAAAAGCAAGGGGAGAGAGCTTTACAATTAGCGTCATCCAATGCTATGCGCCTAACAACGATTACAATGAAGACGTTAAACATCAGTTCTACGATAGGTTGCAGCCAGTCGTCGAGAAGTGTCCAACAAAGGACTTGACCATTCTGATGGGAGACCTAAATGCCAAGGTTGGAATCAACAACATCGGATATGAAGACATCATGGGACGACATAGAATGGAAGAAAGGAAAGAAAATGGTGAGAAATTTGCAAACCTGTGTGCCCTCAACAAACTGGTCACAGGCTGCACCATATTCCTACATAAACGTATACACAAAGCCACATGGATTTCACCAGATCACACTACACGGAACCAAAACGACCATAACTGCATCAACAAAAAGTTCAGGAGGGCGATGCGCGAACCAAGAGAGGAGCTGATATAGCATCAGATCATCACCTACTAGTCGCCAAGATGAAATTGAAACCCAAGAAGCAACGGACAATGGGTCGGACATCACAAAAGTCTAATACAGCTTTTCTTCGGGATATTGACAAACCCAAAAAGTTCAGGATAGCCCTCACCAATAAATTCCAGACCTTTCATAATCTACTCAATGAAGAGGGAACTACCATGGAGAGCAACTGAAAAGGAATAAAAGACGCAATCACTTCAACATGTCATGAGGTTCTGGGCCACAAGAAGCACCACCGCAAGGAATGGATCACTGTTGATACACTGAACAAGATTCAAGAAGTGAAGAACAAGAAGGCAACTATCAATTACAGCCGAACAAGAGCAGAGAAAGCCAAGACACAAACTGAATACACAGTAGTAAACAAACAAGTGAAGAAGAGCATCAGAACCGACAAACGTAAATATGTGGAAGATTTAGCAACGACGGCAGAAAAGGGTGCAAGAGAAGGAAACATGAGATAATTGTATGACACGACAAAGAAACTCTCTGGAAATCGCCGCAAACCAGAACGACCAGTGAAAGCAAGGAAGGCGAGGTAATCATCAACATTGAAGAGCAACAAAACAGGTGGGTAGAACACTTCAAAGAACTCTTGAATCGACCAGCTCCACTGAACCCACCCAACATCGAAGCAGCACCCACGGACCTCCCAATCGATGTTGGCCCAACAACAATTGAAGAGACTAGCATGGCCATCAGACAAATCAAGAGTGGCAAAGCAGCAGGACCAAACAACATTCCAGTAGAGGCACTGAAAGCAGATGTAGCAGTAACTTCAGAGATACTCCACATTCTCGTCAGCAACATTTGGGATGAAGAACAAGTACCAACAGACTGGAAAGAAGGACTTCTGATCGAAATACCACGGCGTACCTGAGAAGATAGTCAATATCATACAGAATTCCTATGATGGATTAAACTGCAAAATCATGCATGGAGGACATTAGACAGACTCGTTCGAGGTAAATACCGGTGTCATGCAAGATTGCTTACTCTCACCCTTTCCCCTTCTCCTGGTGATCGACTGGATCATGAAGACGTCAACATCTGAAAGGAAACACGGGATACAGTGGACAGCTAGAATGCAGCTGGACGATCTAGACTTCGCAGATGATTTGGCTCTTCTATCGCACACGCAACAACAAATACAGGAGAAGACGACCAGTGTAGCAGCAGTAGGTCTCAATATACAAAGGGAAGAGCAGGATTCTCCGATACAACACAACATGCACCAATCCAATCACAATTGACGGAGAAGATTTGGAAGATGTAAAAACCTTTACATATCTGGGCAGCATCATCGATGAACACAGAGGATCTGATGCAGATGTGAAGACGCAGATCGGAAAAGCAAGAGCAGCATATTTACAACTGAGGAACATCTGGAACTCAAAGCAACTGTCAACCAACACCAAGGTCAGAATTCTCAATACAAATGTCAAGACAGTTCTACTGTATGGGGGCGGAAACCTGGAGAACTACGAAAGCCATCATTCAGGAGATACAAGTGTTTACGCAAAGTACTTCGGATCCGTTGGCCAGACACCATCAGCAACGACCTACTATGGAAGAGAACAAACCAGATCCCAGCGGACGAGGAAATCAGGAAGTGGATAGGACACACATTGAGGAAAGCACCCAACTGCGTCACAAGACAAGCCCTCACATGGAATCCCTGAAGGCCAAAGGAAAAGAGGAAGACCAAAGATCACATTACGTCGAGAAATGGAGACAGATATAAGAAAAATGAACAAAAATTGAATAGAACTAGAAAGGCCCAGGACAGAATGGGCTGGAAAATCCTCGTCGGCAGCCTATGCTCCATTGGAAGTAACAGTCGTAAGGAAATAGTCTTCCGGTTAAATTTTCTCCTTGAGAAACTGACATAGACGAACAGTCTGGGTTTTCTAATCCAACGTTCAACTTCATTAGAGTCGATTAACGTACAACTGACTAGTGTGAAATACCGTCTAAATATTTCAAAAGATATGGGAAGAATATTCAGTGTATTTATTATCATGATGAAACCCATTCAAGAGTACTTGGATAACGATAATTACTTGAGATGGCAGCACCACTTACTCACAGTAAAACAACCTAGT